AAAGCTGAGTGGATGTGAATGGCACCACAGCCATGGTGTGTTGGGATTGCCAGGTGAGTTAGTAGGGGAAGTTGAGAGCGGGATGCTGTGAATCTGCGCCCCACACATGCGTCTTGCCTGTGTTAGAGGCAGCAATGCATTTCAGTGACAAGTTCTAAGGTCTGTCTAGCCCTGTGAATAACCATTGTCTCTCTTCCTTCCAGGGTCAACTGTTTCCAAATGGTCTTCTGCTTCTTTCATTTTTAGCATTAGTCCTTTTCTAATGGAACACAGGTTTAAAGACTGGCTACAAAGGAGGGTTGAAAGACTAAAATAGCATAAGGCCTCATTAACAGGTGAAATCTGGTCCAATTCCATTTAGGCGGTCAGGCAAAACCTTATAGATGGGAAATCCTTCCTCAACCCTGACTGTGCCAGCCTGTTTGAAATAATAATTTTAAATTTATAGACGGCCCTTGATATACAGACGGATTCATCAGGTGAAAAGATGTAAATGCCTACATCTGAGCAGGGTCTGAGGTCAGAGAAGAGACAGGTATTTTAGCCTGCAACTTGTTGAATTCCGAAGTCATCTCAGATAAGCTGGATGAGTTGTTCCTGAAAAGTGCCTATTTCTTTCCTGTGGTTGCACTGGGAGGCTGCATTAATTAGCCCTGACACAAAGCTGTCTGCCAGGTTTGTGTGTGGCAAGTCTCATCTCAGACCTCAGTCCCACCTGCCTTGGACCTGGACCACTGCTGTTGCACACAGAGCTCCTTTCTGTCAGGTTAAAGAGAGCAATGACACCCACGAGCTTTGCACTCTGTGTTTCAGTGCCGGTCTCTTATTTAGGGCCACTTTGTTCTCCAGTAGCTGTGGTAATCTGGCAAAATCTCTGGCCTCAATATTGAGAGTCCTGAGCCCCCACAGCTCCCATGCTGACTTCAGCCTAGCCAGCACGTATGAACACATGCCAGATGTTGCTGAACACAGGCATTCCTTTGTGAGAATACTGCTGGGCCATAGATACAAACTCTGCCCCACAGTGTATTTGAGTATTGAGGATTTATTTCTCATTTTGTTCCATGCCGTTCTGAAAGAAAAGCCTTTCCATGTGAGAGATATTCTGATTTAGTGTGACGACTTCTGCAGTGAGTTGTCCCTGTTTAGCTGGTGGAGTTACCCTGAGAACAAATATATTCATTCCTGGGAAAAGATCCACCAGCGCAGTGAATTTTATTTGCTAAGTTTGTTCATATAAATTAACAGCATGACAAACACCCAGAAGATAATGAGATCAGATCCATGCTGGTGGTTCCCTTGCTAAGGATCGCTAATCTCACAAGGCCATCGTTTGAGGATGAGAACTCACTGCAAAGCCTGGCTGACTTTACTTTTCGTGAACGAACAGCATGTCTGTGCTTTGGTCCTCTCTCACCTCAAAGTTTTACACAAAGTTTAACTTTGCCTTCCTACTGTATGTGTGAGTCTGAGCAAAATGCTTCCTTCCCTGCCAAAAGTATAACAACCTTCATCTGAAGCCCTGCTAGCTCTGTTTACCTCTGAACTCTTTGACATGTGGGTCTCCACACTTAGGTTCTTGCCCTTTACCACAGAGCTCTCTGTTCTCTTCTGGTCTCAAAACACCTCTGTAAAATCAACTAACCAAGCAATCCCTCTTTCCTTTATCCCCATCCTTCGCTTCTCCTGGACTTCAGTGATGACTCTCACCTGACTTGGCTTACCTGCATTGTAAACCCTCCAAGGCAGGGAATGAATTTCACCAACAACTGAGTGACCAGGGCTATAGGAAGCATCCAGGGAAGCTAATTCTATGATGAGAACTAATATCACTCCCATCCAGTTGCCAGACACCCCACCTCCCCTGCATGACACATGGCACTCCCTCTTGCTTTCATGTGTGGCTTGAGAGCTATGTAAACAGATATTATCAGTCTTATAAAATAATATTGCACAATAGCCATGGGGCAGTTCAAGCTGCCCAACAGTTCTGATTGTTTCCTGTATTGTTTTCAGTGGAAAGCTTCTAGGGAAGCACTGGATGACAGCCTGAAGACAGGGAGGCTTCAGTAGCTGTGTAAACGTACAAGGGCAGAAGAAATTTCTTACAAAGTAATGCTAAAAACATGCTTCTAAAATCCTCCTTCTTTGACACGGTGCTGTGAAATTTTTGGTCTTTGATTACGGAAGAGAGTAAAGACACTGGAGATCAGTGTTCAACAATGTCAAACCCCAAGGAAATGTGTGTCAAAAGACAAAGCTTCAACAGTGCTGCAGAGATTTAAAAAAGGGAGGAGAATTTCACACTGCAAAGCTTGTGAAACTTCCTATTTTCAGCATGGTTCTTCCAAGAAGCCTTTTCTTAAGAAGGCAGGCTTCCCTTTAAATGTACTTTTAGAGCAAGCTAAAATCTGTGGCATCTTTTGTGGGCATGCTGCCCATCAACATTGCTGCAGGAGTGTTGAGGGTAAAAACAATCTGATGTTCACATAAAAAAGGTGAAAATGTAACTTATCCTCTTCACAAACTACCATTCACTGTTCTTGCCTGAGGCTTCATCTCTTCAGTAGCTACACAGTGTGATTGAATTGTATATTTACTTCGACTAGAGGGAAAACCCCACACCATTACTAAATCCCGATGCAGTAAACAGATTTCTGTGTCATGAACATCTGGCACATCCAGTTACTTGTATTACAATCTCCCCAATTAGGATGCCCAGCATCAATCTAAGCTTTGTCAGCTGCAATGCTTGGGAGGGGTAATGCAAGAAGGTATCTGCAAACACAGGCAAGCCTTTACCAATGATATAGTAGGTATTATGGTCCCTTAAAAATTAATACATCTGTGATTAAGTATGGCACAGCACTAATTATCTCTGCTTTCCAGCTGAGGGCAGCAGGGGAGAGGGAGCATTCTGTTTATAGTATGCTTATGGATGTCTTTTCAAACTGCCACTCATCCCTCAGATTATGAAAATAAAACCCCAGCTATGGGTGGGTCTCTTCACAACCTTTCTGTCAGCCCTTGCTTTAGTTCCCAAGCCAGAACTGAAACCACTGGGTGACAGATATGTGGGGCCTTTCCAACTTCAGCCATCTGGCTGGAGTTGTTTTCTTCAATTGCCTTCTGCTCAGATCAGATCTGGGGATGAACATGGTAACTTTTTATGTGCTGAGAAACTTTTTCAACTTCTGCCAGCATCTGACATCCACAGGGGAAATAAACAGTAGAAAAACCATGGTAAGTTAATGCCCATTCCTAAATCTTGAAGCATCTGGCCTTCCACTCCAATCCAAATCATAACTCAGTGTGACAATCCACTCATTGCTGCCCCCAATAAAAGTCCACAATCAGTCTCGTTTTCACACATGCACTTTTCAGACACTGAATGCATGTGTGGATTTTTTCCCTATAGATTGCAATTCCAGAATAGGAGGGGTCACTCATTCACTAACTGTTATAGGGATCCATATCCTAGGATGCCTCTTGGCTACGATCCTGCTAGAATGACCGGTCTCCACTGTGCTGCCAACTTTCATAAAACAATACAGATGGCAATATTTATGCTTGTTGAGTGGTCTTTGAAATGAATACGAGAGCGGCTCAGTAGCACCGGCTTTCACACATTTAACAGTTCCACTCCTAAAACCTGCACTTAGCTCTTGCTCAGCCAAAGCTTTCCCTGCTTTCCATGGGATCCCTGTCCTAGCACAGATTCCTCAATTTGGCCCCTAGACAAGATGTTTGATAACAGACTTGATGTGTACTTAATGAGCATCAACGGTTTTGTTAATTCTAAGCACAGGTGGATCTGGATCTTACGCACTGGAGCTGTTCAGCTCTGATCTACCCTTACGGTTTGAAGCACTCAAAATGTAGACTAAACTCTTCTCTTGAGAGACAGGAGGCAAATTCTGGACTCGTGGGGCCATCCACCACTAAATATGGGGACATAACAGAACAAAGGGTCTCTTCTTTTGAGAACCCTCCCTTGTAATGGAAGTCAAATGGATGACAATCACCATGCAAGTTAAAAAAAGGCTTCACTCAGGGGAAGAAACTCAAAAGTAGGTCTTCATTTTTTGTGGGCACTATGGAATGAATGAGAGTGATGTCAGATGTAATATAACACTGGAGTGGAAAGCCTAACAGAAAAAGACATGGTAATGCTGCACTAGCTAGTTCTAGACATGAGCTACCCATTAAAAGTAAGTCAAAACCCTCAACTTAATTTTGTGCATATGCCATCCCAGCCCCCGGCCTCTCTCTGGGCGTTTCAAAGCTGCAAGAGCAAATTTGTCTTCTCAGAAAATATCTCCCTTGGAGGCAAAGACACTGTGTGCACAAGAGCACTGGCAGCTTCCAGCAGCTTCCAAGCACTAACAGTTCCTTGTAAAAATCCCAGATGAAGTTTGAAGCTCCCAAGCTACAATAATCTTCATTAAAACCTTTCTTGTCTGATCCAGCTGTGTAGAAGCCAACTGGCGGCCATAAAATGCCATAATTTGCTATTTGTGAGTTCAGAAGGTGCATATGACAGAACTGTACTGGGATTGATCTGGTCCCTGACAGAACACACACCCTGGGCACAATCCAGAGGAAATGTGGCTCGTTGGTGAGGAAGCGAGTGTTTTCCCTCCAGGTTGCTGGCTCAAATGGGTTATCCTGGCAGAAGGAGGGCTTTGTTCTTCAGCTCTACCCAACTTGGACTTTCCAGTTCAAAGCTCACAAGTAAAAGTGTAAAGACATAACATCTGATCTTGTCCTCATTTCTCTGTGGGCAGCTCGGGGTGTTAGTGTGGCTACTACTTGTTTACGCTTGAGTGAGAAGAGTTTTCAAACTCAAAGAGCTCAAAAGAAACCTCTGCAGAAGTGTTTGTTTGTCCACAGGTGTTTCTACAGTGTGAGAAACCGACAACCTCATTTCCTGGTCTGCAGGGAACAGGTTGGGATACATAGCTGTATCCCATGGGAAGGGCTCACCAACACACACTTACCTGACACAAAAGTACAAAACAACCGGTCCTGACTTTTTGGGGAAGTCATGTTCCAGCACCCGTCGGTCCAGCTGAAGCCAGTTCAAGTGTCCCCTGGCAAGAGAAGAGAGAGTTTTGAGCCTGGCACCAAAGAGGTTTCTTGCTCCTCGTGGTAGTGAGGTCTGAGGTGTTACAAAATACGAGCTGAACCACCTGCTATTTGCCCTTGACTATTGCATGATATTTGAAAAAAAGACAGTAAATGTTTGAGAAGTGGAGGCGATATCATCCTGGCAGCGCTTCAGTCTGGGAATCAAACTGCTAAAGTTCAATCTGTCAGGGTGAAAGCTGGTAGCACTGAGCAGGCAGGACAGCCCAAAATGTTATAAGCTTCACCTTTTTATTACAAGCCCCTGGAGCAGTTGTATCATTAAAAGTCTGTCAAGATTTTCATTAGAAATCCTTATGGTTAAGAGTTTCCACAACGCCTGCAGTATTTCACTCAAGGCTAAACCTGACTCTACAGACTGAGACAGTTTATTTACCACCCACATGCCTGCAATAGCCTCTCTAGGTTTGCTCGGCCCTCGTTTTTCCTTCTTCAGAGAGCTCTTGAAAAACAGCTGCTCTGTGAAGCGTTCCAGCTCCAATTACCACATGCTGCTTTTCTTTTGCCTAGATGGTACCTGTCGTCATTATTTTCTCCTGTAATTTATCCATTCGTGCCTTGCTGCTGGAAGCTTTCCTGGGCAGGAACTCTGTTCTTTGTCACGTTCCCCGTGTTGTAGAGCGCTCTGTGTGTGTGTGTGAGAGGGACTTTATAAATACCATTATTTGTATTACAGGGGCATCTCACTCCCCTGCTGAGATAAAGGCCCTGTTAAATTAGGCACTGTGGAAATACCTAGGGTGAAATTCAGGCCCCACTGAATCTGGCCAGAAATTTGCCATTGCCTCCAGTGATGCTAAGGCTGCATCCTGTGAGTTTTTGCTATTGATTTCAGCCAGACCAGATTTCACCCAGAGGGAGAGGCAGTCCTTGCCTTCAGTGCTCTGCTGTCTAGACAAGCAAGGAGCGAGAGAATTGAAGTGATTTGGGGGAGAATCTTGCAGCAAATAAAGCAGGAAATGGAACTCAGATGTTCTGAGCTTTATTCCAGTGCCTATTCACCAGCTCATGCTAATCCTCAAGAATAATTCTTCATTCCACTGTAAATAAAAAAAAAAGGTCAAAAAAAGGAGATTGGTTTTAAAAAAACCCAATAAATTAACTTCTAGAATTGCAACAAGCCTTAGCAATGTACCCTGTCAGCAAACACATTCAGCTTTCACAGGGGTCTTCCTGTTCCTCCTTGAAGGAGGCATGAGCTTTGGGCAACTGAGAAGCCCCTTTGGAAAGTAGGCAGTGACATCTCTGTAGCAATTTAACTGGATTTGCAGCTCCACCCCTCCATCTTTCCTAGAAAAATAAATAAAGGAGAAAGCAGCAGTTTCAGCAGGCTTTGAATCACCTGGGTTCAGCTGGAATTTCTGTACTGCTGCCCTGGTTTACATGGATGCAGAAGAGGATGGGCAGCTCAGGAACCTTCCCACCCAGGCAGCTCCAGGCTGCCCTGGAGACCATCTGGGACCCTGTGTGGGCTCACCTCAGCCAGCACACTGCTTTCCACTAAGGAATTCAAAATTACTGGTGAGCTCCACTCATCACTGCCATGGGTTCAGGATCAGACATCTACAAAAGAGTTCTCGAATTTTGCCATATAGAAGTCAGGTGTTCAGTTTAATCAGCCTTTGTCTCTGCTTTGCAAAAGTACTGAGTCTCAATGTGGTACAAGTGATACATGTGGAATCAGGTATTTTCAAACTCATCCTGCACATCTTTTGGCGTACAAAAGGATGAAAGCCTATTTTATCCCCTGCTGCAGACACCTGTGTGTTTCTTCCCAAGATATTTTAATTTTTAGGCAGGTTTTTTTCTCTAGATGAAGTTTTTACATAAGTTTTTTCTTTATTTAATTTTTTCCTCTAGGTATAGGGAAGCCTGAACCGTGTTTTAAGGGCGCAGACATGGTAGCAGCCTGCCTACTGTGAAGGGGTGATATCGTGCAGATTTTCAAGCCCAACTGGTCACTTCATGTGTCTCTATTGCAGCTCATGGACTGAGGGAAGACTGCCCAGCCTGTGACAGCACTGGCATCAGGGTGAGGATGGCCATGCTAACTGGGCTGGGTGTAGGGACTAACTGGCCTGGCTCTAAGCAGGCTCCATAGCTGGGCACACAGCACAGTGGGGTCTCCTTCCATCATTTCTGCTGCTGGCATGTAGCTGCCCAATGCTACTGTAGGAACCCTGCATCATTCCCTGTTGTTCAGTACAGATGGGTACTTTAACAAGATTTGGTTTTTAGAAGACTGATGTTCCAGGCTGACAGAAATTAAGCCCCATTGAAAGATTTTCAGCCTGGGCACCTAAATATTAGAGGTGTCTACATTTCCTGCTGCATCCTCCCTTCTTGAAATCTGTCCTTTTCCTTATTCTTCTTGTCCTGAAGTGCTATTTTGTTTCTTTTAACATGAGTCAGGAAGGCTGAAATTAGCTGTGAAGTACAGATGAGGATTGAAACTAGCCATGCTCACCCATTCCTAGCCAAAGGACAACCTGAGCATTTAACCACATAGGCCACAGTACAAAGCACTGTCAGAGCAAGGAAAAGCCACACTAAGCCTGACATCCTATCCTGAACCTGTCCAGTTCCATTTGTATCACCAAAGTAGCAGCCACCAGCAGCTGATGGTGTTACACACCAGTTCCCACCCAGGCAGAGTTGTTGACAATGGACTTACTGTCTACCTCTATGTTTATTCAACAGCAATGTCTGGCTTTGCCTAACATGCACAAGGAAGGGTTGAGAAGCCATGGTGCACAGCACAATAAATCACTTCAAGGTATATTTCTTATTTTGAAAAGACTTTTCTTTCTCACCGTGTTTTAACTGGAGAATCTGGTTGATATAATCAGTACAAAATGACTACCTGCATAGACGTGTGCATACCAGGTTACACGTTTATGTCCCACACGTACACGGTCGTGTGCACTGAATAACACATTTAATTGCCACTGAGTTTTTAGGCTGAAGAGTTTCATTACTCTCATCTGCATGGAGCTTAAATCCAAAGCTCCTTCAGAGGAGGAAGGTCACTTAAATCCCTGCCAGGAGCTAACTGCTCACTGTACTCAATTACTACTTACAATCTTTCATCGCTGAGGGCTTCTGGACTGCAGACTGTCACCTAACTCCTTGTTCTCAAGTGTGCATGTGTGGCATGTAGAGAGCAGCAGTGAATAGTCACTGGCATCTGCCTGTGAATGTGGTCTATCGGGGAGCCAAACTCCGATGCCGTTACACCACAAAACTCTTGGCTCTGGAAGCTGTCCTCCTGTCGTCAGCAAAACTATTCATGGAGCACAATCCCATGTAAGACAGAGAAAAGTATGGGCATATAACCCTAGGCATGTAGCAATCCTGACAATTTTCATGGACCGATTTAGGCAGCTTGCACTGGGATCCCATTCATACGTGCCTAAGTCTAGCTGGATTTCCTTCATGGTTCAATTTAGAGACACAAAGTAGCTTTTGTTTCATTATTATTGATTTGTTCGTTTGGGTGTTTGTACCAGTGTATTCACAAATAATGGTGTAAACAGTTTTGGGGGACCTATAGGGAGGTCAGATATTGGAAGCCAGATCATTTTCATCTGTTGGCTGTACTCATGTTGGCAGTTAAACTGGTGTGTCAACAACAACCACATAATTGCTTTTAGGAAAAGAAACTGGGTCCATTCAGTTTACAGACTGAGTATGGATTTTGGTGCCCAGGGTCCATATTGTCAATTTTGTGCAGTAGTTCTGTTTTCTTTTATCAGTAAAGTGTGGTACATCAATGAGTACTTTGCCTCCAGGTGGTTCTGTTTATAGAGTTTTACTGGTTAGTGTCCAGTTTTCTGAAAAGTGGATCCACATTGATTTGTGTTATAAAGGTATTTAGACCAATAAACCAACTCACACCCCTTCAGTGTCAAACTCATGTTGAATTGAGTGGACACTGAGAAAGATCAATTCACATAATAGGAACCATATAAACTATTTTACGGTTTCATCAGTCGTGACAGAAACAAAAAACCCTTTAAGCTCACAGATTTTTTCAATTAAGAAATACTTTTGAAGAGGCTGAGAAGCTCAAGGAGCTATATGAGTTTAACTATACAAATTTTGGAAAAGAGTGGACTTGGTGATAAAAGAACTGGTCCAGTGCCAGAGCAGGGCGTTACTCTGAACGCTGCACCCTCCACTGGACCAGCTGTTTGACCAGGATGTGGGACACCTGCTCCCTCATTTTGGCTTTGCCACATGGCTGGAAGGTGGAAATAGGCTTCCTCCCAGTTCCCAGGGATGAGAGAGTATTCCAGGGAAGGGTGGTACCTTGCTGCCCCTTTGCCATCCCCTTGGCCAGAGGGTCCTGTGCTGAGCAAGGGCATCCTCTATCATTGCCTTATCATGTTAGTACAATCTCTAGATACATGTAACATAAATATTGAGGGTCTCAGTGCCTTGCAGTTTTTATCATATGTATTAATCAGCTGAAGAAGCTGTTCTGCAGGTTCTCTGGTGAGGGAGCAAAAGGGTTTGAGTCAGCTTTTGATTGGACCCACGGAGAGGGGGAGCTATGGGATGCAAAAGTTGGTAACTCTCCATGGAGCAGGTGACTCACATCTAAGGACAAGTAAAGGATGTGGAAAACCTGCCCAGGGCCCAGACGGGGAGTCTGCAGTGAACAGAAGGGTAATTCTGACCACTTGCTCTCAGTGAATGCTGGAGGAGCTGATGCCAAGGGAAAGGGCACTTAGCGGAGATTCATAACCAGCTGAACTAAAAAAAAAAGCCCTTTCCCCATTCCTTTTCAATTTTAATCAACCAGTATATTGCTCTTCTGGCTTCCTGTGAAGCTTGGCCCCACGTGCTGTACAGGGACACCCTTTTGACCTGTGCTCTCCCGCAGTTAATGGCTCACCATAAAGCGTTCCTATGATCATTAAAATAGAAGGCGTTATTCCCCCCTCCATAATAGTCTGACAATCTAATTTTAGTCACGCTGAATGCAGTAATGGCCCTATATTATCACAAGAAACTATTAAGTTGCCAACGCAAAGGTTGTTCCTATTGATTTTCTTCTAAGGTTGTCATGATAGAGCACAACTAATGAATGGAAATCCCCAGTACAAATAATTTCTAAATAAATTACTCTCATAGAGCTTTTACACTTAAATAGAAGAATTGATTTAATACTTTAGTGGCTTTTCTTCTTTCTAAACTTGCAATTTAGCCAACCCCAGACTACATTTATGAACCAGGCTTGTTCTGTTTTAGCTGGTTATGAGTTCCCTTCAAGTAAGGCACATGGAAATTCAGTGGGGAGTGAAGAGAATGAAGTCCCTGAGGGTCTGTGTCACAGAATTAAAGGATTTCTTTTCACGTGCCCGGTCTGTATCAGCTAAAGGGCTGTGTTAGGTGCCCTGCAAATACAAATTAGGGGACTATTTTTACTACTTTTTGGAGAAAGGGGATTTTTTATATTTCCATTTCACATTGCAGGTTAAGATCTGTGGTACAGACAGCCCAGTTTATTTTCTCAAGTTGACATGGAACATCTATTTCCAAGACCCTGTCCAAGGCCCCAGGTATATTCTTTTGTCTATGTTCAGTCAAATAAAACAATTGCTGTTTGTGACAACTCTATTCAAAGCATTTTACAACTGAAGAAGAAATACTTTTGTCAAGGTTATTTTCACAGCACTGAAGAAGCCTCAGTGCAAATGTCAGTCACAGTGGGACAGAAGAAGGGCTGCAGACCAGCTTCAGATCAGTTTGGACTTACTGGCTTGTTTCTGAGTTGCATTTCCTTGATTTAATGAGGGTGTCCCCAAAACTTTCCTGTGGGCTGGATGAGGATCTCCTAAAATGCGCCCTGCTTCGTCTTGACTACAGGTCTGAAGGTGACCAAGAGAGTGGATGCCATCACCTAACCCTTTGAAATCCTGCCAGGGCAGAGCACATCCATCTGCATCCATTGTGTATCTTTGAGCTCTGCCTCAATAGCCTCTATCAGATACTTGCACTTCCTCCCATCACTAACTCATATCTTTGCTCACACCATTTGGAGTTAAACCTGGAGGCCCCAGGGAAGCCTGGGCTCTCTCTAATTGACACCTCCTCATTAGCTTCCCTTGCACTCCCAGGGGAGCCCTGTGCCCTCACAGCTCAGCTGAGAGCTGGGGCTTGCTCAGCTGCTCTCTGGTTACACTCTGACATGTGTCTCGTTTCTCACCTGTGCTGTCAGGACTGTTAAGGGAACATTTTGACCTCATAGTGTGCTTTGGCTTCTCTGGTGGTTTTCCTGCACCCCTCAGGCAGCACCCACTGAGTAACTTGCTCTCTCCAACACAGAATAAGACTGTGGTAAGAGCAATTTCCTCCTGCTGCTGTATAAATGGTCAGTGCCTCCCGCTGTTCCTCCTTGGAGGATCAGTCTCATTAATTTGTGTTGGGTTGGAGATCTACAGGGCTGAGTTGCTCATGTCAGTGAGTTGGGATGGATTCTGGGATTCAGGTACTGTGTCTGCATGTGCCTGATGCTGAGTGTTCCTCCATCCTGGGAACTGTGTCCTGAGATGGCCTCAGGCTGTCCAAGGCAGGCACTTGCCAAAGGAATTGACTTTAGAGGGGTGCTTACTGCTGAGATGAATGAGGATATGTTTGTGTAATTATCCAGCAGCCTCTGATTACCCGATCCCGAATCATTATTCCAGCAGATGATTTACATCTCCCTGCTACTTCAGCAGGAGAGCGGAACTGGCTCACGACAGCAATACTGCTGACTCAGCTGTTCCGGAGGCACAGCACTGGCTTGAAAATCCTGGGTTTTTAAAATGATACTTCCTGAATATGAATCTTCCTGATTCATATACGAAGAGAAAACCCATTGCACAGTGAGGTGGAGTAGGTGGGTGTGCATACAAGACATAGTCCATATGCAAAGGACAGTGTAAATCCTGAGAGAAAACAGACAGATGGAAAAATGTAGCAGGGATTGTGCAGTAGCACTGAGGGGTCACAGCCTAGGACTAATCACAGACTTTGGCAGACCTTAATGCTTCTCCAGTGCTAATTTTATTCTTGCCATTTAATCAGGGGGTAGACGTGGCCTGTCTTGAGACAAACCCTCAAATTTTGTGGTAATTCGAGGACTCTGGGAGCTGTTGTTCTAGGCAATCAACCAACATCGAGGTGACTGCAGTGTCAGTGTCCCATCCTTTCGTGTAGTTCAGCCATAAGGCTGTTGTATGATTCCTGGTGAGGTCAAATCCTTTCCATGATGGAAATTTTATATTTAAAAATGCTTTTAATTCATGCTAAATTTGGCAATTCCTTCCTTTCCCACACTTCCTTCTTTCTTTTTTTTTTTAAGAAACTTGAATCTGGGATCTAAACCATCAGAAATAGTAATTTTGTGAGGTTGGGTTTCTTTTTTTCCTTTCCTTGAAATAATACAGCACCACTTTTAAGTCTGCTTGAGTGAATAGACTGATTAACACTGATTGAACTACCAATCTGGCAATGAACTAGTGAGTGGATCTTAGATCCATGAGAGCTTAAGGCAACCTTTTAACAGTGGCAAATGACTCCAACTCTTTGAACATGGGGTTAGGAAGGGATTGTTACTGCCTCTTCACCTCCAGCCATACTTGCCATGAGAGGCCTCTAGCCCTCTGAGGAAGGGGCAGTACAGGACAGGCTCTGATGTGAGGTCCATGCCCTCCTAGACCTTGGTCTAGGACCTTGGGTTGCACAGTGTTTCTATGCTGGTTGTTTTGCTTAGGACAAACCCAACAAGATTTTCTGATATCTAAGAGTTGCCTCTTAGGTCTTTGATTTCTCACACTTACGTTTCATCTGTGAATGCAATTCCAAAGTACTCCTTCTCCTTCAGGTTGAAATGAGATGCCACCAAGTCAAGCAACTCCTTGGCCAAAAGTTTTGGCTGGAAAACAAGAATGAAAGAAAGTGATTAATGAGGAGAACTTGAATAGAACTGCAACTGTGCTTCTGGAGGAAAACACTATCCTTGAAGACACTCCACAGCTGTTGCTTTTATGTTCTCTCTGGTATTCAAGGTAAATCTGCAAGGAACATTAGCCCCTTGAAATGAGCAGTAGTTTCCCTCCCAGGTAAATAATAAAAACCTGGCAATTCTGACCTATTCAGTGCTTAATGTTCCTGCAGACAGATGACTTGCTGCCTGCCAGTGCTCGGATCTACCAGGACCAGCTCCCTCCTGCCTCTCTTGATAATTTTAGTTGTTAAAGCTTTTTATCAAGGACCTTTGCAAACACATTTCAGACACCCACTCTCTCACACACAGCATGGATATATGCTCATAACACTAACAAAATACATAGTGCCAAAAGATAGGATGTGACAGGACCAAATGAGAAGTAAATGACAGAACAAAATAGTTTCCCATTCACTATTGCTTGTCATATAGAGATAAGGATATATCCTCAAATTTAGGCACTTGGAAAGAAAGACAGGAAAGTAGCACACATGTTCAAAATACCATTTGTAAGAGCATAAAAGCCAAGCTAAGAGAAACAGAGGATGGTGCATTACTACCTTTTCTGCAAAATCTTATTTGTCTTTTAACTCCAAAGTGTCCTTCTGCCTCTATGAATTTTCCCCAACTCTGCTGAACTCCTGTGTTTCTGACCAGACTTCTGAAGCCTTGGCCATAACACAGCTCTTGTCCTGACTGTCACTGGTCAGAAACAGGGGTTCAAAGGATCCAGGTGGCTGCAGCCTGCAATAGCCCCAGATCCCAGAGCTGCAATGGTTACAGCAGCACTGGCACAGCTGGGGTCAGAGATCCCAACAATGTTCCCTGGTGACTGCTTATAAGGATTTGGTCTACAAATCTCTGTGCTGCAAGCCTCAGGGAAAATAAAACTGTCTGCAGGCTTGACTGACCCAACCAGTCTGCCAGGCAGCTGAGTCAGTTACCCCAGACATGAACCTGTTGTTAAATGGAGGTGAAATGATGATGCTGTGCAGAAAATGAGTGTCGAGGACCTGATAACCCTGCTGTCCTAATCGACTGCCCTGTCCTGTAAACAGAAACACAGCTTGTATTGAAAAAGCCCTGATTTGTACTTTAACGCCCGAACAGACTCATAAAACTCTCAACCTCTGGAAATGTTCCTAAACCCAGCACTATCATAGTATCTGACATAGCTGAGACTTTCCCTGTGTACTTCCCTGGCATTCATATGAGTGTCACACCATTCTGCACCCACCCATCTATCTCCCTGCTCTCTTTTAGTGCAGTTACAGCAATGTCTGAACTGCCCCTTTGGGGCACCCAATGCACAGGGGGTCTCTAGGTCATTCCAGCAAAGAAAGAAGCAACAGCTGTGCCTAAATGCAGCACTGACTTAAAGAAGCCTCTGGATACAAAAGAAGTTGCTGTGTAGGAGGAACAGGCTGGCAGATAACAAATAGGTGGGATGCAACCAGCCTAATTTGAATTCCCAAGTCAGACTTCTCAGGCGCAACTGTTAGAGTCTCTGCTATGACTTTACTGCCAGCTGCATTGACTTTCACTCCTGAATCAGCTCCCACATAGTGCTCAGAGATGAGCAGACCAGGCATGAGGTCATGGTCAGATCCCCTGTCCCCTTAAGTCCCTTCAGGGACCCAATCAAAGAGCACACCAGCTACACCAGACTTTCTGGAGACTCCTCAGATACTTCTCTCCTGGCATTGTGCTGGGTGAGAGGGACGTTTGCAGCATCCCTGTCTCCTGTAAGATGAACTTCTCTTTGCCAGAGCATTTGAAGAACAAACTACAGTTTGACTTACGATATACAAAAATACTGTGGCAAAGAGGATGGTAAGACTGCTGGGTGGATTCAGAGATACACAGGCTCAGTGCAGGTGGCAGGTTACTGTGGGGTGTGGGATGAGTTTTCAGCTTAACAACAGACAAACATGCAAAAACTTATAAAGGACAGAGAGGAAGAGGGGTTTGAGCCTGTCAGTGTGTAGTTTGAAGCTGTGCTTTTCCCCCACTCCTGTCCAAGTCTCCCTGCTACTTTCTCTCCTCGTTGGGCCGAATTCTCTCTGCACCAGAAAGGGATTTCTTCCCAAGCCAGCACTACCGCAAGAGGATGGATGGGAATGCATGGCAGGTCTGACTCCTCCATGGCCAAGGCCAAAGTGGGGGCAGTTGGTGGAGGTGAATCCATGTCTGAGGGCATTGCAGGCGCAGTGCTGCGTGGCTGTCACTGCCTGGCACCCAGTGCTCTGGGATGACTCAGTTATTTGATAAACGAGCAATTGTGCTGCCAAGCAAGGGAGTGAACCATCAGTGTCCCACCTGAGAGGGCAGGGGTGGAGAAGGGTGGTGAAACAGCATGCCTCAAACATAATAGCATTATTCCCAAGTCTGGCTTGAGCACTTGGAAGGAATAGGTTGAGCTTTCATATTTCACAAAAAAGCAGAACAGAGCAATAAAAAGCTGATGTGCAACAGACTTCCCGTGGACATGGGGGAGTGATGGGTCCCTCTGCTCCAGTCAGCCAGCAATGCCACAGGGGACACTGTCAAGGGGTAAAATCCCCTTCTGCTGTTCAGCCACCTCATGGAGAAGTGATGCCCAGCATCCCTTGCCTCACACACGACTGCATCCAGCCCCAGCTATCCAGTGGTGAGCAGTACCCAAAGGTACCTGTCTTCAGCCACCCTTCCCAGACAAGACGGGTAAATGCGATGTGCTGCTTCCTTATTTCTGCTGAGTGAGACCTGGATGATGAAAAAGCCGTGGAGAGATGGTCAGCTTGGTGTGACAGCTTTCCCTTCTCTAATAACCAGTAGTGAATGCTACTCTCCCAGCACAGCCCCACTCCTGCCCCTGGGGCTTGGCAGAGACACTATTTCCAGTGCCCTTGCTGTAGGGCCTCCTCCAAAGCCTGTGGTAGCAGATAAGGCAGGATAACCCTTTGCCTTGCAAGATAAGGGGAAAGAACAATAGATGCAGACCCAGCACTGGAGCAGTGCCAAGTTAGTTACTGGGCCAGAGTCCCTGAAGAGGCTTATGAAGCAGTGAAGTTAAGCCCTGCTAGTCCCCTTCAAGATTACTTTCCTCTCTACCCTTAAGCTCTGCAAGGTTATTGTCCTTTCCCTTGGGATGACTCCTGTGTCCTCCCAACACAGACAGGCAACCTGAGTCTTTGGAGGGGAGAGAAGGAAGGGGTCTTCTCCAGGTAGTAAATACTCCTCAAGACAAACTTGCACAGCAGGGATAAGGCAGGAAAACCCAGCCAGGCACAAGCTGAGCAGCAGCCTGTCCCGATGTCCCAGGAGAGCCCCGATGTTAACGGTTAATCTTCTTGCCATTCACGATGGGAATGGCTGAGCAATGACCTCCTTTCATGTGAGCTGCGCAGACAAAGAGCTCATTAGCAATGCCTGTGGCAAGTTGTTTTAATTCATTATTAATTTCTGGACTTCATTTTCCGGAGGGATATTCGTTTTGCGTTAATAAAACTTCCGTCACAGACACATTGAAGAAGATGGGGACCTGGTCTCTCAGAGCAGGGAAGTCAATAGAAAGTGGGACCAGGACCTTCTGCATTCAATACAGCTGGCTGGTCAGCAAGATAGCTTGTGCATCTCACAGGAATAAATTAGAGTAACAGGTGGCATTCAGCCTAGATACTGAACTGTGTCCTCAGTGATGCAGAGCTGGACTGTGGTGCCCTGTGAGCTGTCCAGGCAGCTGTGGAGACCCCTCTGCATCTGCTGCTTTTCATCTCCTTCCTGGAATCCTCCATGTAACCTCTATCACAAAACGTGCACTGTGGAGAGTGACAAGAGCTGCAGCTGGATGTCCTGAGCTTGGGATGGGGAACACCAGCAGAAATCCTTCAGCTGGAGCAGTGAGAGCTGATCGTGCTTTGCTTGTGGGGTGGGTTTGACAGAACAGCATTATTCAGCCAGGGAATGCCCTGCTGCTCCTTCCCACTACAGGACCCTCTTTGCAGAAAGGCCTGTGAAGAACAGTGCACTGTAAATCAACTGTTATTGTTACTAGAGAAAACAGCAGGGACCTGGTTGTGGTCCCAGCACAATGGAGCTTTGGCCCTGGGGGAGAAGATCCTGCTCCTGGTGAGCTGTATAGTGGAGTTTCTGGCACAAACACCAGCCATTCATTAGTCAAACCCTGTCCCTGAGCCTTCTCTGCATGGCAGCAAGACAAGTGCTTTCATGAGTCTGGGCCCCTACCTGTACTTCCCAATTCCTACTCCAGCCTGGAATGAGCAACACTTTGCAGATTGAACTTTCTGGATTTGAAACCATGACACCTTCCACAAAACCTAATACCTCAACAATGGGTCACTGGATCCACTTGCCAGGCATGATGGCACCAAAACGCTGTCCAGTGGATTCCTGATCCTCTGTAGAGTGGTACAACTCTTTTGTGAAATCAACCCTGACTTGGGGACATGCTGAGGTTTCTCCCTCAGAGAGCAGAGGTGGACTCATTAGAAGCTGCCTCCTTATTAGCAGAACGACCCAGACACCGTTCCCTGATGCCTGGGCCATGCCTGAGGTTTGTCTGAAATGCTGCCTTATGTCCTGGATCCACAAGGCCTCAGCAGCAAAGAGCACAATGAGCGCATGGCCAGGGCCCTCTGCAACCCCAGGTCCTGCAGGTTGGAAGCAGTGAACTCATTCCCTCTCTCCCTCCCCCAAAAGCAGCCAAAGTTTGTTCAAATAATGACTTAGAGGAAAGGAAGAGCTTTATTAGTGGTGTCAGGAGGTGGCAGGAGAAGAGCTGAACCTCAGTAGCAGCTCTGTACCTTGAACGTGCCACCAAGAAAGATTATGAAAAGGCACCAAAGGCAGTGCAAGAAGGTCCATATGAGATCACAACTGGCTGACTCTCCCAGGCTTGTCTCCCTGCATTTTCCCAGAGCTTAAAG